CCCTGGTACCAAAAAACACCCCCCCCCCAAAAAAAAGGTCCTAAGTTTGATCCCCAGTACCAGGAAAAAAATAAATAAATAAAACATAGAATTTTTATATCTTCTTGATCCAGCTTTGGTAATTCATATGTATCCAGGAATCTGTCCATTTCTGTGTTTTCCATCGTATTACAATATAGGTCCTTGAAGTAGGTATTGATGATCTTCTGGATTTCTGAAGAATCTATTGTGATTTCACCCTTTTCATTCCCAATTTCAAGGATTTGAGTCTTTTCTTTCCTTTTTTTTGATAAGGTTGGCTAAGGGTTTGTCAATTTTATTTCATCTTTCAAAGTACCAACTCTTCGATTCATTAATTCTTTGTATTTTTTTGTCTTGATTGCATTAATTTCTGCTCTAATCTTTATAATTTCCTCCCTCATATGAGCTTTGGGCTTGACTTGCTCTTTTTCTAGAAGCTTGAGGTTCAACATTAGGTTGTTTATTTCAGCTTGCTCTGTTTTTCTGATACATGAATTCACCACTATAAATTTCCCTCATAAGACTGCTTTCATTGCATCCCAGAAGCTCTAGTATGTTGTTTTGGCATTATCATTTCATTGTAAAAACTGTCAAATTTTTTCTTTAGTTTTATCTGTGACCCATTGGTTTTTCAGGAGGGTATTACTTTTCATGTGTTTATGAAGTCTTTGTGGTTTCTTTTGCCATTGATTTCCAATTTCATTGCACTATGGTCTCATAATATGCATGGGATAATTTTAGTTTCCTTGCATTTACTCGATCATGTTCTGTGAGCTAGTATGCGGTCTATTTTGGAGAACACCCCATGTGCAGCTGAGAAGAATGTGTAGTCTGATGTGGACTGGATCACTCTGTAGACGTCCACTGAGTCCATTTTTTCAAAAGTTTGGTTCACTTATGATATTTCTTTGTTTATTTTTTGTCTAGTTGACCTATTTGTGACAGTGGGGTATTGAGATTACCCATTAAAATTGTATTAGTGCTTATTTGATTTTTCATGTCCATTGATATTTGTTTTGTATAGTTGGATGCACTGCATATATATTTATGATTGTTATCCCTTCCTCTTCTGTTGTTCCCTTTACAAGGATGTAGTGACCTTTGTCTGTCTTTGGCTTGAAATCCACTTTGTCTGCAAATAGAATACTACCCCTGCCTTTTTTCCAGGTTCCTGTCACATGGAATATTCTTTTCCATTCTTTGACTTTCAGTCTGTGAATTTCTTTTCTAATTAAATATGTTTTTTGTTTGTTTGTTTTTTTGGTACTGGGAATCGAACTCGGGGTCCTCGCACTTGTGAGGCAGGCGGCAAAACCACTGAGCTAAATCCCCTGCCCGAATTTCTGGAATCTTGGCTATGCCCTGGTGTAGATTTTTTTTTTTTTGATCATAGCTAATTAGAGTTGTATATATCTCCCTTATCTGCCTGTGAAATTTTTTTTCCCTGCTTGGGAAATTTTCCACCATTACTTCTGGGAACAGGTTTTTAAAAAGTCATTTGTGCTATCTCCTCCTTTTTCATTGATTCTAATCAATCTTATTCTTCTTTGCATCATCTAGCAGCTATTGGATTGATTTTTTATTTTCCCATGCTATTTTTTTGTTTTTGTTTTTTTGTATGGGGATTGAACTCGGGTCCTTGCACTTGCTCAGCAGGCGTTGAAACCACTAAGCTAAATCCTCGGCCCCTGAGTTGATCCTTATAAATTGCTTATGGCAAGTAGCTTTATTGCTAGTATTTAGAACCCTTAGGAAATGACTACTTCTTGGAAGTTTCATCCAGGTGTAGCTGGCTTTTGGGTTTTGACTTTATTGCAAGATCTTACCTCTTCAATTTATTGGAGATGAGAAGTTGCCTATTTGGCCTAGCCCCTGGTTCTTTTCACTGGCCCATAGTATTTTTATGACCCTCAGGCAGTCTCAGTCTTGGCATAACAGGTAGAACAACTGATTAGAACAATTGTGTCATCATGGCTAAAGTAGTGCAGTCAGCAATAACAATAGCATCAAACACAGTCTAGAAAATGACAAACTGTAGTAGCGATTAATTTGCTATCATTAATTATATGAACTAGATTTGTGGTTATATAACAAAATCTAAAACAAATCAGAAATTTGTATACAGTAAATATGCCCTCAATATGACAATTTTACCCTCAGTGGAGAAAATTTAAAAAGGTTTAGGAGGAAAAAATAGAGAAATAGGAGAGGAAGAGATTAGAAGCAAGGCTGGAGGGCAAAGGGAGATTATGCAAACTGTAGGAAACTGGTGAAGACAGGAGGGAGACAAAGAAATATAAACAAGTTGAGAACAGAAGAACAAGAAAAAAAACTAGAAATAATGTTCACATTCATATAAAAACAAGATCAAACAATCAAAATAAGAGAAAATGAAACAAAACCAAGGAAAGAAAAAAAAGAAGAAAATAAGACAAAAATGTCTACTTCAGGGGCTGGGGATTTAACTCAGTGGTGCCATGCCTGCCTCGCAAGCACAAGGTCCTGAGTTTGATCCCTGGTACCACAAAAAAAAAAAAAAAGAAAAAGAAAAAATGTCTATTTCAGCATGTGTCTGTCCTGTCACTGGTATACAGAGTGGGGAGACAGAATCCGGATCTCTGTTTATTAATCCCAGCAAGCCAGCTGTAGATTTACAGTAGGGTAGTTGACATTCCCAGCAAGCCTGTATCTTTGGTTCCACTGTTGTTCAGGCACACTGATACCATCAAGCATTGATATTTCATTTCACTGATGTTTCTGGCTGTGAGGCTGGAAGCCTGCAACTCCCTGGGTCCCCCTAGCGAGCTTGAATTTGGCTCCCTGGTGGCTTGAATTCGGCTCTTTGGCTTGGTGCTGACTTGAACTGGCTTCTACCTCTCCCTGATACTCGGAGCCACGAGATGTAGCCAGCAGCTGCTCTGAGTTCTGAGCTCAATTGGCCACTCTAAAATGGCCACTGGCCGATTGTCCTTTCCTAAAGGAAATAACTCACTAGCCACTGCAGTCTGCTGTGTCCACTGTTCTGTTCCATTGGTGATTCTCACCACGGAGGCCTCTAGGGTCACCAGAAGTCACTGTGTGTCTGCAGTTCCAAGCTGCCCTTCCCATGCAGTGAGTCAGGGCTCAAGGAGAATGCACCACTTGCCATCTCTGTCTTCCTCACTGAAGTCTCTTTCTTCGCTCTCCCTGTGTCCTTCAATTCTCACTTCAGATCCTTGCCTGGTTCCAGGGACCCACTTTCTTCCTTCTTCTGTTCCTCACGTTGCTATATTCCAGTGTCTGGACACCAAATCTAAGAGAGGTTGTTTCTCTGCTGTTCACCACCCCATCATCTTCCCAAAAGTCCAGGTCTGAGTGATTAGTTTGTAGAGCTTTCAGTGCATAAGCAGCTGGGTCCAACACAGGGTGGCATGGCAGAGGGGCATTGCAGAGGAGAAATATTTCATGGCAGGTAGAAGGCAGAAGGCAGCATGGCAGCAAGCAAGAAGCTTGTAATTCTATTTTTCATTCTTATTTTACTTTTAAAATTTAAAATTTTATTTAATTTTTATTTTATGACAGGGTCTTGCTATGTTGCCCATGTTGGTCTCAAGCTCCTGGAGTCAAGGGATCATCCTGTTTTCACCCTTCCAAGTAGCTTGGTCTTCATGTTTTCTTTCTCCCTTTCTTGTACTGGGGATAGAATGCTAGGAACACATACTCTACCAGTGAGCTGCACTCCCACCCCTTTTTATTGCTTATTTTGCAACAGGGTCTTGCTAAGTTGCTCAGGAAAGAGGACTCTGACCTGTGATTCTCCTGCTTCAGCCTCCAAAGTACCTAGATTACAGTTGTGCATCACTGTACCTGGCTATTTCGGGGAGGGATTAAACTCAGGACCTTGTGCTTGCAAGGCAGGCACAGTGCCACTGAGCTAAATCCCCCAGCCCATGGTTATTATCTTTCTTTTTTTTGGTGCCTGGGATCGAACTCAGGACCTTGTGCTTACAAGGCAGGTGGTGGCACCACAGAGCTAAATCCCTGCCCTTTTTTTTTTTCTTCTGGTACCAGGGATCGAACTTGGGACCTTGTGCTTTTGAGGCAGGCAGCAGAACCACTGAGCTAAATCCCCGGCCCCGTATTTTTTTTTTTAATGGTAGCCATTCTAATGAATTTTGAGATGATACCTCACTATGGTATTTTTGCTTGTTTTTTGAGGTATTAGAGATCTAACTCAAGATGTACTACTGAGCTGGATCACCAGCTTTTGTGTGTGTGTGTGTGTGTGTGTGTGTGTGTGTGTGTGTGTAAGTTACTGGGTATTGAATTTAGGGGCTTGACACTGAGCTAGATCCTCAGCCCTTTTATATGGATTTTATTTATTTATTTATTTTTTGGTACCAGGGATCGAACTCAGGACCTTTTGCTTGCAAGGCAGGCGAGGTGCTACTGAGCTAAATCCCTGGCCCTTATATTGATTTTGATTTTAAATTGATTATATTGATTTTGAGACTGGGTCTTGCTAAATTGGTAAATTGCTCAGACTGGGCTCCAAATTGCAGTACTCTTGCTGCACCCTCCCAGAGTGCTGGTATTACAAGCATGCACCACCATGCCAGACCCAGCTCTTTTTATTTTTTATTTTGCAACAGGGTTTTGCTGGGCCAGGGATTTAGCTCAGTGGTTCTGGCGCCTGCCTCACAAGCGCAAGGTCCCAAGTTCAATCCCCGGTACAAAAAGAAAAAAAGGTTTTGCCAAGTTTTTTAGGAAGAATTTGGACTCCCTTCCATCCATCTTTTCTCAGTGCTGGGATAACAGGTACGCTCATAATACTGTCTTTATCACAGAAAGGTAAGGTAAATTGCTCAAAGTAATAGAGCTGGGATTTGAACCCAGGCTGTCTTGCTCCAATTCTGTTTCTATCCACTGCATAAATATTCACATTGTGAGTATATCTTGTATCTTTCTTTGCTGAATCCAGAATATATTGTATCTTTCAGATCTTTTGGTAGAATTTGGAACAGTTCTAGTTTACACATGTGAGAAGAGTTGCTGGCCTCAGAATCATCAGACTCCCATGGAAGAATATTGCATTACACAAGAAGATCCAGATGAGTTACTATTTAAGTAGAGCATTCCCTTTTATTTATACAAATTAAAACAAATTTTAATGTACAAGTATGTGTGTATTTACCTTATTTTAACCCTCAAGTGTTTTGTGTGTGTGTGTGGTGCTGAGGATAGAACCCTGCCCTTGTGCATGGTATGCAAACGCTGTACCACTGAGCCACACCCTAGCTTGAATATTTGTTATCAACCATCACTTTCTTTTTTGGCTCTTGTGCTGAACCTGAAGATCATGAAGATCACCTCTTGATCATGGGCTACTGTATCCTTCAGGTCAGTGGCCTTCTGCACGGTGGTAGTTTGGAAACCTCCTTTACCCGACTGCCTCTGTACCCTGGTGCCAGCTCTGGATGTTGCCAGACCAAACCAGTCAACCTGCTCTAGCTGTTCAAGGCCTAAAACTAGGCTGCTTAGATTCACTCCATGTCCCCTGCCTATCCTCCCTCTGCCTCCCCTGGGCCCCATCTTACTCCTGCAGCGTCATAGGGAGGGGCCCTCACTCTCTGGACATTGTCCCTCCATCCAACTGTCCACCTTTGTAGTCTTCCGTTTATTCAGTTCCAATGTTATCAGCCCTTCCTCCTTCCTTTCTGCTTTTTTTTTTTTTTTTTTTGGTACCGGGGAATCGAACTCGGGTCCTTGTGCTTGCACAGCAGGTGGCGAAACCACTGAGCTAAATTCCTGACCCACCTTTCTGCTGCTCTTGAGAGCAACATGAGAACACTTCTGTCAGCCATGTGCAGGCATGCCATTTGCCTGTGTTCGTGAGGCCCAGATTATCATGAGGCAGGGTGCTTCTATGCAGTGTGACTTCTGAGAAAAGTAGCCGAACCTGCCCTCCACCCTGGCCCCAAGGCCCCTGAGAGAAGCAACTGCATATGTACACACTGAGGCTCCTGAAGGCCTGGGTTTGCAGGACTGAAGCTGAACAGAGCCCCACAGACAGCTTTTGATTTTTTCTTTCTCTGTCATGCTGGTGAAGTGACTACCTTTCCCTGTGGCACTTCTGTGGTAGGCAGAGACTGCTTTAGCCTGTCAGACCAGTTACTCCAACTAGAACAGAAAGTGACTGCTCACATTTACAGGTATAGCACCCTGGCTTTATTTAAATGGGCCAAGGAGTCCACCCATCTGATGAGAAGATGAAGAATTATTGCATAAGAGTGTCCTTTCAAGGATCTGAAGTTGATACCGATATGTTTCTAATTTTTTATGTTTCTAATTTTGTTTTTTTATGGAAGTCTGGGAATTGAACCCAAGGCCTTCACACTGAGCTACATCTCCAGCCCTTTTTAGTTTTTTTAAAATTTTGAGACAGGGTCTCACTACATGTCACTAAGTTACTAAATTGGCTATTATGGGTTTGAGCTTGTGATCCTACTGCCTCAGCCTCCCAGAGTGTTGGAATTAGAGGAATGCACCACCATACCAGACTTCTTTTTGATTTTTAGATGAAGATAGACTCCTTGTTGATTAGTCACATTCTTGAATCTAATTATATGCATTTGTGTTGGGTCTTACCCAGGTAAATAGAATACAGATTATCAGGGGGACCATGATCTTTTTTTTTTTTTTTTTGTACCGGGGATTGAACTTGGGTCCTTGAGCTTGCGCAGTAGGGGGCAAAACCACTGAGCTAAATCCCCAGCCCGGGACCATGATCTTATAAAAATAAATATGTAACATACTGTGAAAAGCAAGGTTTAAATAAAAAAGTGCAGTATAAACTCTTCTATGGAGGTTTGAGGCAGGAGGATTTGCAAGTTGGAGCCCAATTTGGGCAGTTTAGCAACTTAATGAAACCCTGTCTCAGAATAAAAAAAAATTTTGTTTTTGGTACTGGGGATCAAACTCAGGACCTTGTGCTTGCAAAGCAGGCGGCGGCACCAGTGAGCTAAATCCCCAGCCCAGAATAAAAAAGTTTTTAAAGGCTGGGGATGTGCAAAGGCCCTGGGTTAAATCCCCAGTACCACCATCCCCCTCCACATGCAAAGTAAAATTCTGTATATTGCTTGTAAAAGACCTAAATCTAGGAAGACACCTACACAGCAAAGGTCTCGACAAACTGGATAGGCTTGTAGTGTAGGTGGGACTTTCAGCTTTTTACTTCCTACATTTGAGTCCTATTATAACAAAACCGGGCAAGCATTTTACACTTCATACATATGCAAACACACACCCAACAGAACCCAGAAAGAAAAGCAAAAGCTATCAGAATTAGGCACTAAGCCCAGCCCACGACAAAGGCAAGATAGGGCAGCCAGAAGAGAAGCCAGGGCAGATGGCGCCCATGTGCAGAAGGTCCTGAGAAAAGGAAGGTCAGCCTCCCTAGGAGGCCGTCTGTTAGGTTTATTGCACAGTGGGGTCTTTGGCAGAGGTGGGCCATTGGTGAGGAGGGACTCAAAAGCCCATTCTGAGGGGTGTCCCCAATCCTAGTCAGGCTCTCTGGCCCTTCTTGCCCTTCAGGCATCAGGAACACAGCCTAAATATTCCTCAAAGACCTGCTTTGTGGTTGGTGAACTGAGCAGCTGCTGAGAAAGACCTCAGAAGTCAAATATCATTTTTCTCTCTTTAATCTTTTTTTCTACTTTCTTCTAGTATTTTTTTTGTAGCACTGGGGATTCCACCTAGGGCCTTACATATGCTAAATGTACACTGCCACTGAGCCCCAAGGATTTCTATTTTATTTGTTTTTGTGGAACTGGGGATTAAAACTAGAGCCTTTGCACTGAGCTACATCCCCAGCCCTTTATTTTTGTATTTTGAGGGTCTCACTAATCATGAAGTTGCCCAGGCTGGGTTCGAACTTGATCTTTCTGCCTCAGCCTCTCAGAGTGCTGGGATTACAGGCCACCACACCCAGTTTATGATTTTTTTATTTTGAAGTTAACATTTAATTCACAGAGTATGAGCTTGGATCAGGGATTTAGCTCAGTGGCACCGCCCCTGCCTTGCAACCAAGGTCCTGAGTTTGATCCCTGGTACCAAAAAAAAAAAAAAACAAGTATGAGCAGAGAATGGTGGCACAAGTCTGTAATCCCACCACTTGGGAGGCTGAGATAAGAGGATTGCTTCTAGTTCAAGGCCAGCCTGGGCTACACAGTGAGTCAAGGCCACCCTGAATTACACAGCAAGAGTCTGTCTCAAACCTTTATCCCTTGCAAAAAAAATATACAGCATGAGCATTTGGAGAGCATGAAAGTTTAATAATAATTTTTTAAAAAATGATCCACAATTCTACCACATGCTAATATACAAAAATACCAATTTTTTTTTCTTCCTGCTTTTTTGGTTTTTTAACTTTTTTTTTGGTACTGGGAATTGAACTCAGGACCTTATGCTTGCCAGACAGGTGCGGTGCCACTGAGCTAAATCCTCGGCCCTTTTTTACTTTTTTTGGGACAAGGTCTTACTGTGTAGTCCAGGGTGGTCCTGAACTCACTATGTGGCCCAGGCTGGCCTTGAACTTAGAGCAATCCTCCGGCTTCTGCCTCACAAGTGCTGGGATTACAGGTATGTGCCACCACGTCCAGTTCTTCCTGTCTTTTGATATAATTGTGGTTTGGTTTGGTTTGGTTTTTCACAAAATTTAATCATCTTCTCTGGGAAACCCAGTGTCAAAGAAGCAGGTACAAAATGCCACAAGTCAGTCAGATCCAGGATTGCACTGAATACAGTTTACTGAGGCCCCCTGTCAGAAATGTGATCAAGAGCAGGAAGACCAGTGGATCCCTAACATTTGGGTCTCAGGGATAGAGCTTATATAGCGGCCAGGACGAAAGTGACTTCATCCAAGCTGGAATGTACCTGGTTTATCTCAATCTGCTATCAAGGATCTCAGGCACATTCCTAGTGCTAACAGCACCAGAATCCAGTGGGTCCCACAGCTCCGTGTACCACTGTAACTGTCTAGTTTATAGTATACTGGGAAACCATGGTGGTGGTTGTGTGGGTGGACTGGGGTTATTCAAGGTCAATCACAGTGGTTACAATTTGAGGTGGCTGTAGTCAGATCAAGCTGGATCCATACATGTATAAATGGTTTTGTCTGTTTTTCATTTAACATTATATTGTGAGCATTTCCCTCTCATTGTTTTCTCCGGGCAACTCATTTGGGTCTCAGGAGCTATTCTTTTTTTTTTTTTTTGGTACCAGGGATCGAACTTGGGTCCTTTCCCTTGCACAGCAGGTGGCAAAACCACTGAGCTAAATCCCCAGCCCTCAGGAGCTATTCTTATTCCACATTTCAAGTCCCCATTCCTATTCCCAGATAAATTTTCCTACACTTAAAATATTTTCCTATATTGCTGCATAATGTCTTTTAAAATATTCATCAAAACTTTATGCAATTTTAACCATGGTTTTCTAATTTTTGTTCTCATGATAACTACCCCTAGGCTAAATCTTGTGACTTTTTCAAAATTTGGTTTTTTTTTTTCAGTTCTGTGTGCGTGTGTCTGTGTGTGTTCCTGTGTGCTGAGCAATGCTCCACCAGTGAGGTACATTCTGGACAAAGTTCTACATTCTAGGACAAAGTTCTAGAATTTGAACGAATGAGTCAGAAACTGTGCACAAGGGCCAGTGATGTAGCTCAGTGGTAGAGTGCTTGCCTAGCATGCAGTAAGCTCTAGGTTCGATTCCCAGCATTGCAAAAAATAAATTCGTTGTGCATGAGGTCATGGGCCTATAGACCAGCTAGGGAGGATCCCTTAAGTCTAGGAGTTTCAAACTGTCCTGGGAAATACTGCAAATCCATGTCTCAAAAAGGGGGTGAAAACTATAAGCTGTTCACAATTGTATACATTTTTAATCATTGCTAAATTCCCCCTTTTAAAAAGCTGTGCTTTAGGGCTGGGGATTTAGCTCAGTGGTGCTGCCACCTGCCTCGAAAGCACAAGGTCCTGAGTTCAATCGCCAGTACCAAAAAAAAAAAAAAGCTGTGCTTTAGAATTCTTACCTGGGGTGTATGGGAATGCGTTGGGGAAAAAATACATTGCTTCTGAACAAGCAGCTGTAAATTGGGGTTCTCACAACCCTTTCCTCAAGTCAGG